TGATTGTTTGAAAATACTCCCTCTACCTCATCCCTTGTATATTTATTCTAACAAACCAATGATTCATTTCAAACAACCATAATATAAAAAAATCAGAATATTTTTTAATTATATTTTAATCATTCATTAATATTAGAAAGTTGTTTCAATTTTCAGAAGTGTTTTTAGACAACCAAAACACTCAGAGAGCAGCAAAATAACATTAATAGCAAGAAGGAGCAATGCATCATACACAGAGGACATCTTTGGGATGCTGTTTTATGTGGGGGAAGTGTGAAATAAAAACCTAGAAAAGTTCACAAGAATTATCACTTCACTCCTTTTCAAGTCAACAGCACAGCCTCACCTTGAACAGTGTGTGCAAGTGTGGCCCAGGAAATATATTTATAGGCACAGGGTAAAACCAAGCCAAAAATCAAAGCAGCAATGAGAACAGAATAACTCCAGCACAAGGAATAAAGAAGATGAGCCCCTCCCATGTGAGGAAAAGAAAATCAAAAGGCACAAGTAGCAAAGTGTGATGCAAAGAGGTCAAGTGTTTAACTGCTCTCCCAATAAAAGCGCTCCAAGGAATGGGATGAATTGCTGGTATTGAGGAAAAGAACACTGAAACAAGATCAGTATCAGCAGAGCTGCTCCAGAACACATGCCAAGCCCCAGATTTGCATATGGTAACTAATTCTGCTAACTGAGAATGCTCTGGTTTCAAATCACAGCTCCTGGAAACGGGGCTGAAATTCCAGTCTGGCAGGAGGCTCAGCTGAGAGGAGCTGGACCTTCCCAAAGCTCCAGCATCCCCTCATCCCACTGCAAAGCAAAGCATGGAATCACAGAAAGGTTTGTGCTGGAAAGGACCTAAATCCCATCCAGTGCCACCCCTGCCATGGAAGGGACACCTTCCACTGTCCCAGGCTGCTCCAGCCTGGCCTTGGGCACTGCCAGGAATGCAGGGGCAGCCACAGCTGCTCTGGGCACCCTGTGCCAGGGCCTGCCCACCCTGCCAGGGAACAATTCCTAATGCCCAATATCCCATCCAGCCCTGCCCTCTGGCACTGGGAAGCCATTCCCTGTGTCCTGTCACTCCATCTCTTGTCCAAAATCTCTCTCCCTCTCTTTCCTGTAGCCCCTTCAGCTCCTTCAGGCCACAGTTTGGTGACCCCAGAGCTTCTCCTGTCCAGGTGAGCACCCCCAGCTGTGCCAGCCTTTCCTCCCAGCAGAGCTGCTCCATCCCTCTGCCCATGCTGGTGCCTCCCCTGGGCTCTCTGCAGCAGCTCCAGGTCCCTCCTGTGCTGGGGCAGCTCTGCAGGTGGGGTCTCACCTGAGCACAGGGGCAGAGCCCTTTGGGTTAGGAAAGCACCAGGAGAGCTGTGTAGAAGAGAAATTCCTTTAAATATATTAAATTAAACACAAATCCACTGTCCCTAGCTCAGAAACCCTGTAGCCACCATCAGGATGGATGGGGAATGTTTGCTCTGTCCCTATGCTCAAGGCACCATGTCCCACCAAAAGCCAGAGGGCACCAGGCCAAAGGACCCTGAGCTTGATCCCACCTGGATCCCCTTCCTGGAGTGGTTCCCAGACCACCTGGGCACCTCCTGCTTCTGTAAGAGGTTCAGGATCTGCTCTCACAGCCAGGGAAGCATTTTAGAGCTACAGGCCACTAATGTGGACAGGCCTGCAGAGCTTTTCTGACCCCTAAATAAATAATGCAAAATTCACCTTGCTCCCTCCACACCATTCCTTGCACAGTGATCCCTTCCCTGAAGATAAGGGATTTGTTTCTGCTAACTGAACACAGTAACAGGTGTGCTCCAACCTTTCAGCAGAAACAATGGTCCCTTGAAACTCAAAGGAACTGTTAAATTAAATAAATAAATGAGTCCACCACAGGCTGTTAGCCTGAACCTCCTCAGTCCTGACCTTCACTCCAGGCCAGTCAGGTCAGGAGAAAATCTCTAACTTAAAGCCCAGGAAAGCAAGAATGTAACACTTGAAAGATAAGCCATTACTCCTGCCTCAGCAGCACCTGATAAAATCACCTTCCCTTTGAAGGGTTAGACAACAAACACAACTCTTCAATATATTAAAGACCCAAAAACCAGGGAGAGGGGAGCTGGATGGTGGTGATGGTGTTCCTTCCTCAGGGTTCTGTGTGGTGTCTTCATTTGAGAGGATTTCCCTCCTCACTTGCACAGACTGGGGGCTTTTCCCTGCTTTAAACAAAACATCCTCTGCTGTTTTCCATTTGCAGCTGTCTTACAGACTAATACACCTTCACAGAAAATGCAGGAACAGCCCTCAATCAAAGATGATGCCATCCCAGCCACAGCACCCTTTTTGCATTTACAAAAACCTTGTTAGGAAATTGTATAAAAACCTTTTTTATATCAGAGTTCCTGGAAACAAGAGTAAATCTTTAGTCCCTTCAAAATATGAGCATAAAAACCTAATTAAGGTTAGGTTTTTCTCTAATTAAGGAATTTTCTATTAGCCACCAAGAAGTCTGATGACTTAAAATAATCAGAGACACCAACACAGGTAAGAGCAACCTCCCAAATGTATTTTGAAGAAAAACAAAACCATGATTCCAAAGATCATTTCATTATTGCTGCTCAGAAAACAGACCAAGAACGTGTGCAGTTTTATTTCACAGCACTAAAAATCCACATTTCAAGTTCTCCAAATTCATCCAGTTAGAACCAGATCATTACAAACCTGCATCTGACAGCTCCATGCCAACCAGAACAGCAGCAGCTCTTACTGGACAGCAAAAATCCACTTGCCAGAAAGATGAACCATTTCACAAATTAAAATGTACTTTCACATATTGAAGGCCAGCATACCAGAGCACTGTTGGTATTCTCCATCAGTGAAAGCTTCCAGTTGCAGAGAAGTCCCTGACAGGTGTGTGAGATGAGGCTCCAGAGGCACAGGAAGGAGGAGGAAGCATTATTTGTCTTGCAGGATGTGGGATTGTGCACTGCCAGGAGATGTGGCAGCCTGATCAAACACTGCACACTGAGCCAGTGCACAACTCTGGAGAAGTATTTTGATCCATTTTAGTTTGTTTTTTGTTTTTTTTTTTTTTTTAATATCTAAACAAATGTCTTTGTTTATCAGACAAAAGCATCAGCACCTCCCCAGTGCTGAACCAGAGTAAGTGCCTGGAGTATTTACATGTCCCAACACTTCTATAGAGCCACAATGGTGTAAAATTTCCACACTGAGCCTCTAATTCTGCCAGAGCAGTGAGTCAGAGCATCCTGAGCCCCAACAGCACATTTTCCTCTCCAGTTAGCTGCTGACAGCCCTGAAGAGAGATCTGTTACAGGGGTTTGAGGGACCCAGCTCCAAGGTGAACCAGGGAACAGCTTCTGAGGCATCATCCACAGAATTTAAACACAAAATCAACCTGCTAATGCACAAAGGGTACCCACAGCAGGAGTTTTTTGTTCCTGCGCCTCACCTGGCACGCAACCAGAAAAGCAGTCAAGTGCAAGGTATTCCCCCCTCCATAAGGAAGAAGGATGTATCTTTTAACAAATGTGATGTCTTAAAATCAGTCTTGCTGAACTGACAACAGAATCTTCCATTCATCTCACATAGTCAGGCTTTCATCCCTTCTGCTCATGAATCATCACTGACTCACAGAAAAAAAATATTTGTTCAAAGGTGGATTTTCTCACTCTCATATCTGCTCTTTCCAAACTTAACTGCCTTCAAACAAAGGCTCATTTCTTTATAGCCTGACTCAAATGTTGCAATAAAGTTCTTAACTGGGCTCTGTCACAACCATTTCCATCAGTTGACTTAGTCTCCAGGTAGGATCATGTGCAAAAGAAGCCACGCAAAGGTGATTGAGCAGGAGTCATATGCAGGGGCTGACAATTATCCTGACCTATATTCCTGTGCTTCTTGCAGCACTCAACTCCTCCCTAACCATTTCCCCAACTTCAGAAAGAGCTGTGGATACCGATTCAAACATTTTACACAGCTAAGTGCTGAAATATTTGAATCAGTATCTTCAGTGATCTCTGCAGCACGTGGTGCACAAACCAAACAGGGCCCTGCAAGCACAGGTAGGGAAATGCCCTGAACTCAGAGCAGCAAAAACCAGGTGTTCAACTGCTCCTTAACTTACAGGATGTAAACATGAAGTGCTTTTATACAAGGTATATTAAGAAGAAAAAAGTGACCAAAGGCTGAGTCCTCAAGAAAAAAAAATTAAAAACCCACATACACTAAGTGTAACTTCTCAACTTGAAGTTTGGCTTTTTTCTGTTTCTGCAGCAGTTAAGTTTCCAGTTCTGGGGGTGAGCCCTCAAAAAGCATTTATCAGGTGCACTACAGACATTTATACCCTCAAGTGCTGCAGGCCATGCTGTGGTAATCCCTTCACCTCCTGCCCAGGAAACACAGCAAAACAAATCCCACATTACAGGGTGAGCTCTGGATGCTCATTACATGGTGAGAGTGCACACTTCAAGAGCTGCCAGCACCAAAAATCCATCCTTCATTTGCTTTGGGCCAACCTGGTCAAACAACCATTCCCTTGCAGGTGATGAAGGAATCTTTTTCTGACATTTCTCAGCAGCTGTCTTCAGTTTTCCTTTTGCTATCACACTGCAGAGCTCCAAAACACTTCCCAGCTTTCAGGCATGAGGGAACCTACTTAAAGTGCACTTCCTTTAAAACATCACCAGTCCTTCTATGCCATTCACCTCTTTAAAACCAGCTGCATTTCAAAAGCAAGGTGGCACACCAAATGTGTAAGGCCTGCATAAGTGGCAGCTTGTTTGGTGTCTTAAAGTCAGCAGAAATCAAGCCTCAGCCCAATCTTTATAAAGTTCAAAAAACTGGATTTAGAGTCAGCAACAAGTCCATTTCAAGCTGGAGGCTGGAGACATCAGAGGTGCTTTCCAGCCAGGGCTGGTAGGGAAACTGTCAGCACCTGGACAGGACCAAGAGATTGAGAGCCATGGCACAGCCTAACCTGAGTGCCCTGGCCCACATAACACCAGAAATGGATGGTGTTACTGAAAGGACACTCCAAAGTATTTAAACAACTGCTGCATTTCCCAGAGCGCCTAAAAGGAAGAGTGGCTACTTTCCACTCCCTCACTTTTATTTCTTTTTTTTTTTTCCCCTACTTCTTTTTAAAGATAATTTACTTACCCTGGAGACTAACTTGCTATGCAGGATGGGTTGATGATGAGCTTAAGACTTTTAATTCCTTGTCCCTTTTCAAGCAGGTGATGCATGCAGGAACTCCTCCTGCTTTAAAATGCCCAAAATAGAAATGGCGCTGTCCAGACAGAAGTTGTTCAGCTGTGGAGAAGAACTATGTACCCTCTCCCTTCTAGAAGCTTGAGAAAAGGATCAAAAAAAGGTTTGAAATATTTCATGCGTGGCACAGGAAAACAGCAGCTAGAAACACAGGCAGCAGAAAGCAACACTGAATCAGTCCAACCACCTTCAGATTCAATAAAATAGAAGCTGCCCCAGCTCTTAAATCCATCTGTGGCCCATTCACAACAGCAGTGACCAATGAAATCAGCTTATTTGCACACATAAACACACAGGTATTTGTGTCTTGCATCACGCATTTGTTACAACTTCCCTGTGACAGCAGTTGTGCTTATGCAACAAAGAACCAGCGCACCGAGCTGAGACAACCCCCCAGATCTGCAAGGTTAGAAAGTCAACACAGCAGCAGCAAATCATCCAAAGTGCTTGTTCCCAACAGCTGTGGAACTGAGCCCAGAGCAATGTGCAGAACACTTCATTCCCTCACAGCTCATCCACGGCAGTGACGTTGAGCTGGGGCAGTTCACACTCCTCCTTGAAGTGGCAGTTCTCCAGGATGTCCTTGTAGTAATCCTTGAGGTCAGTGTAGGTGGAGGTGGTCTCGTTGGAGTGCAAGAAGGGCAGCAGCCTCTCATTGAGCAGCAGCTGCACCTGGTACTCCTGCTGGGAGGCGTTGACGTGGTCGCAGTGGTAGAGCACGAACACCAGGTTGGCGGCGTAGGGCACGATGCGGCCGCTGCGGAACTTGCGCTGTTCTTGCCGCGCGAAGTTGGTGGCCAGGAGGGGCTCCTTGTCCTTGAAGTAACCCATCAGGGCAAGCAGGGGCTGCAGGGTCTCTGCGTGCCCCACTTGGACAATCAAAGGTGAGGAAATGGGTTTGGAGCTACAAAAGAAAAGAACCAGAAGGGATGAGCAAGAGGTTGTGCCTTAAAACAAAACCACGGCTGAGGGACACCTTGAACCTGTGAGAAAAACCTCTTTGGGAATTGCAGTCTGGTACAGACATTTTAAATGCAGCTTCCTAAACTTTGTCCAAGTATGGATCCAAGGCCAACACAGTGAGGTTCAGCAAGTGCCAGGCCCTGCAGCTCCAGGCTGGGCACAGGGGCTGCAAAGGGCCCTGGAGAAAGGCCCTGGGGCTGTGCCAGGGCTGGGCAGGAGCCCAGGGGTGCCCAGGGGGCACGAGGCCAATGGGCCCTGGCTGTGCCAGCCCATGGCAGGGCCTGTACCCTGGGCTGGCCCTGCTGAGGGACCTGAGGGCTGTGTCCAGTTCTGGGCCCTCCTGGCCAGAAAGCCCTGCAGGGGCTGGAGCGTGTCCAGGGCAGGGAATGGAGCCCCAGGAGGGGCTGAGGGAGCTGGCAAGGGGCTCAGCCTGGAGCAAAGGAGGCTCAGGGGACCCTTGTGGCTCTGCACAACTCCCTGCCAGGAGGGGACAGCCAGGGGGGGTCGGGCTGTGCTGCCAGGGAACAGGGACAGGACAAGGGGAAAGGGCCTCAGGCTGGGCCAGGGGAGGCTCAGCTGGGACAGCAGCAGCAATTTCTGCAGGGAAGGGACTGCAGCTCACACAGCCAAGCCCTTCATTAGATGTAGAGAGTTTCCTCCAAATCATCAGCAGCTTTTACCAAATTTAGCCTGAAGACAGAAATCCAGACTGTCCCTCCCCAGCGTGGCAGCCCCAATGACCAGCAGGAGCACTGCTGTTACCAATTCCTGAGGGCACCAAGCAGTCCAGGAGGAGACGATGCTCCCTCAGGAACAGGTCAGCAAATCAAGGCACTGCCTCGAACCATGACCCAGGACAGCTTATGTAACAAAAGGTTACACACAGTGCTCAGCCAAAGGGGAGATAAGAGCTGGCTGGCTGTGCCAGGAAACTCCAGCCAAGAGGAAAATCTGACCCTTGCTCCAGAGGAGGATGATGGCTTTTGGGGACCAGTTCCAAGTGGCCCATGTAAATCCAGCACAGGTAAATACAGGTTCAGCTTTCAGGAGACACATCTTGACTGCTCTGAAAAGGAGGAGTTTCCAAAGCAATGGAGAAATGGTTAAGTGGGAGATTTACCTGGGGATTGGAGCTTTGATCAGCTCAGCAGGAATTCAGTGCTGGGCCAGGATGGTGCACTGGTGTTTGTGCAGTCTGACACACACCTTGTGCCACGCTCCTGGTGAGCCTGAGCCCTTCTGACCCCACTCCTCACACCCTCCCCTTAGACAAAACAGCCCTTAAAAAATACATCCAAACCCTGCCTCTGTTTTCTGCTCAAAAGCAGCAGCCTCCAAACCACATAAAGGTTCTCTGTGGAGGACAGTGGATTTTCCCCCACCTATGCCTCTGTTGCACCAAGATCTTCACATTCACCACACTCTTCCAGCTCCTCCAAAACCAATGCTCCTGCTCGTGTTCTCCCCTTGCTATTTATGATTCTTTCACTCACTTTAAAATTATAAAGCTTTTAAATCCTTGAATCCCTTTCTTTTCCCTCTCTTGTGCACTTGACCAGTTCACATGTATCCTTCCCATCCACACACACCTGCAGGGAGGTATTTTTAGTTTTTAGGACACATTCACATCCCTCCTGTCACAGCAGCCAGACACAGATGTCTGTGGAAGGAAACAGGAGGCCACTCCTTTGATCTCCTGCAATTTCCAGCTCAGAAGTCTCCAGGGCCAGAGGTGGCTCCTAATGAACCCCAGCTTTGCCAAATCTCTCCCTCAATCCACGTGCATTTCTGGCACACACAATGTCCTGTGGTGAGGAGCTGCACAGCTTCACACACTGCTCTTCATTTTTCTATCTGTAGATTCCATGTCCCATTTAATCCATTCTGACAGCTCTGCAATAGTGTTTTTTCCAAGCTGAGAAATCCTTCCTCAGTCCTTCCACAATTTTCCACATCCCTTTAGATCACAATATCAGAATGCACAACACTCAAGAACCATAAGCTACACTGAAATCAATGCTACACCCATGAGCTCTCTGCTTAATTCCTGATATCCAACAAGGAGTTATTTGGACTGGGACCCTAAATTTCATCTCATTCCAGCTCCCTGTCCCTGTCAGGAACACCCTCCACAGGCCAGGCTGCTCCAAACCCCACATGCCTGAAGTGTGAGATATCTCAGACAGCTACAACAACCTCCTAAGAGCCCCTGAGCAATAGGCTCTCCCAGATTCTACCCAACAGCTGATAAGAAAATCATTTTTCCCCATGTGGATTACTTGACAGCTCTGCAGTTTTCCAGCCCAGTCAGTCTCCCCAGGTCCTTTCACAATCTCCCTTGTAGAAACACTTCATCTCATTTATCTGGAATAAAACTGCCACATTTGCAATGCCACTGAACTTGTCAGCTCTTCTCAACATTCCAAGCAGGTCAGATCTTTCCAGCTCTATCTCTGCTAGGAAAAATCAATCAGCTGTCCCTACCCTCATTTCTTGTAATTTTATCAAGTTTTCCCCTCTGTAAGGACCTCTCCCTGTAACCCCAGCTGCCTGATTCCTTTAGATAAGGAAACCTGTTCAGAAGGATGTTTGGAAACCATAACTGTAGCTACCAACCACCCTATTTTATATTTGCTGATCCCTCCCAAGAGCTCCAAGAGGAATGCTTTCCTTTTAAAGAGCCACCCTAACACTGCTGAGGTGCATCAGATTCATCAAGGTGCTCAGCAATACTAGTGTGGAGCATTTTTTTATTTCTACAAGACTGGCTTGGAATTCTAATTCTCTCCTGGAGATGCTTTTTCAATATTTCTCTTATTTAATTATTTGTATTTTCATGTCTTCCCAGCTGCATGGTCTAAGAGGGAAGCCGGGAATGCAAATATGCTGCTAGAATCTCCAAAACAATTTCACATAGGCATTACTGACCCCACAGACCCCTCAAAAAAGGCTTCAGAAATGCTAAGACAAAAATAAATTAACATTCTGGCTATCAAAGCTGGCTTTAAGCAAAGTTCAGCTTTACTTTCCAGGTGATGCTAAGCAGGAATGTTGAAATGGAAGTAAATGACAAAAAATAGAGCAAAAAATAAATCAGAAAACCAGCAAGGTAAATGTTTGCAAAGCAGGAAACAAATTATAGCACAGAGAAGATTTTAAGAACAAAGGAAGAAGTGGGAAAGGAAGGACTGAACAAGGTGCTCACTCTCAGTGTAGCTTGACTTTTTCCTTCACTTGCTTCAGTCTCATAAAATCCTCATGCCAACAGGCCAAGCAGCCTTGGGAGGCAAAGCAAACCTCTCCCACTCAGCACCATCCCACTGGATTAGTGTAATGAAGATTAAAGCTGTTTCCTGATACAGCACAACCCTGAGTTCTCCACAGGCTCCTGAACCCAGCAGCACTGGTGATTTCCCAGACTGTTCCAGCACTCCCTGTTCAGGGCCAGGGTCTGGACTCCAGCTCAGATGTGGTTTGCTATCAGCCAGCAATGACAATCACAACAGCCATCAAGGTTACCCTGCAATATTTTTAATTGTGGGGAGAATGATGACAGATGGTCTTCAGAGAATACCCACAGGCAAAGGTTGCCACTGGCCCTGCATTCCTTGTAAGGGCAGAACAAACAACAAAGCAGTGATAAACAGCAGCACAGGTTAATAAAATATTAATGGCAGATGTTTTCCATGCTCAGCTTGCCTCACAATCTACCAGTGACTCAGTGTCTTGCTGGAAGCATCAAAGTTCTCCACATTGCACTCTGGCAATTACTTAATGGCATTTCAATCCACCTTTCCTCTCCTTTTTATGTGCATGGCTGGGGAAAGCCCACTGAGGGAATCTCATTGCCACCTGTGAGGGGATTGTGCATAAAACTCTGCCATAAATATCAGCAGCTTGTCTGAAAGTGATTGGTTTTATATTCATTTCATGGGGCACTTGCAATGAGCAGAAGGGGCCCTCAGGAGGCAGAGACAAGGAGGTTTCACTGGAGAGATGTGCCAGCTCCTCAACTGCCCACTTTTGGGGTTTTATGGGGTTTTTTTTTTACCTTTGAAGTAAGTCTGGCCACAGAAAGTACTGAACAATTCAGCGGCACGACCCCAAAAGCTGAATCTCACCATGGGGGAAAAGAAAAAGCATCATGGAAAAGCACAGATGTGGGATCTATCATCCAGGTACATTCTAGTTCTCCTGGATCTCAGCAGATTTGGGTTTAACTCTGAATCTTCTGCATCAGCTCATCCAGAGCAGATCATTCCTTCTCTTCCCAGTACTGACAGTTCATTTTCCATATGGAAAAAGTGAACTTTCCTTTAACCAAAATTTATTTCCTAAGCACTGACTGGATTTTCAGTTAGAAATAACTCAAACCCCAGGAAACAGTGGGATAAGATGAAACATTTCCTGCAGCAAAGCTCAACCAGCCAACCCTCAAACCTCCTGTAAAAATCCCTCCAACAACTGCACAGAAGGTAAGATTTACCACTTGTTTAACAAGCAAGCTCAGACTACATGCTGTCCCTTTTCTCCCTAATAAAAAGGCAGGTCAGAGGACTCCAAAACCTGCTTTCAACTGTGGGATGAATTCTCCATCCTTCTCACTTCCCCCTGTGATTTATTTCATGGAAAAAGAAGCTGGACAAACCCTAAACAAAGCAGGAAGCAGCAGAGACCAGGGAAGGCAGTGGTGGCACTCAGAGGGCAGCAGAAATATTTAACAGTGTTCAAGCTCAGAGGGTTTTCACCAGTGGGAAGAAGAACTAAAAAAACTTAAAATATATATCTGTCAAATAGTAAAGTCCTCATATATCAAAATTTCCACCATAAAGACAGCCAATCATTCCCAGAATCAGCACCAAAACAAGGAAATGCCACCACTAATACTGACAGCAGAAAATTTTCTTTTGTTGCAACAAGGAATAAGCTCACTGATGACAAAAAGAAACCTGAAAAGCTGACTGGACTGCACAGAACTCATTAAAAGCCCTGATTTAAAGGCTCTTATCTAGTCCTGCAACACTTTATCAGCTGGAGGTAATTAGGCTAGGCCTCCTTGTGTTTCACTGGGAGCTACTGCACTTCCAAAGGCTCTTTCCCGGCTGATCTCACCTCTGCCATTGTTTGAAACCTCAGAGGTGAAATGCACTCCTGTAGCAGCACCACAATAATGCTCAGTGCTGATCCATCACGAGCCAAAACCAAACCAAGAGGCTGCTGGCACCTGGCAAAGCCAAGGTGGGCACTGGTCAGACCACTCCATTTGTCTGTGAGTGTTTAGTTTGGCTTTTTCATTCTCACATAAAAGGGTAGGGCTCTATCAAAGCTGCTCAGATACTTGCTCAGGATAGATCTGAAAAAGTATTCATTAACTAATTAATGAGATTGAGGACATGCTGGGGAGTCTGAAAGGCACAAGAAACTTTAAATCTCTAATTCTGGCTGGACAGATGGACAGGCACACTCCCAGGGGAGAGACCCCGGGCTGCCCAGCTCTCTGGGAGAAGATCTGAGAAATTGAAACACACACACATCAGAAATGCAGGCACAGGGATGCTGCTGAATGTGCCACAAGGATCTGGGGTGAATTCCACACCTCTGTAAAATTCCTTTCAGTCATGTCAGAAGTCCCACTTCTGAAAGATGGAGCAATCAAAGCCCACCAGAGCTGCTGAGTGAGACATGGATTGTTTATTAATGAAAGCCACCCCAGCAGCAGTGAAGGGGTTTCCATAAAAAACTCAGAACCTGAGCAAAAAGGGGATTTTCAATCTAATTATTTCATTGCTGCTGCATATGCAGAAGCTTTTTGCTCACTTCCCTTTGTAGAGTTTTGACCTGTGAGGTGGTTTTAGATCATCCATTAGACTCCTTTGTACCGAGTCATAGGTTTGGAGGAATAATTAGGGCACAGCAGTAATTGACTCCTGAGAGGTCCCAATTGTGTTGGGAAGTGACCTGCAAAGAGCAAGGCAAATTACATGCAACAATAAAAGCTACCAATAAATTGCCAAATTGGTCTGTTTACCATAAATCACAAAGATCACCTTCAATTGATCTTGAATCATATTCAAACTAGTCTTTTTTTTTTTTTTTTGTAAATACCTTGGACCCATTTACTCTCTAAGAGGAAACCATCACCAAATATTTTGCAATGCATATTTACAGCTAAGCTAGTATTATCAATACACTGCAAATACTGAGATGGCTGCACAAAGCATCCTCCCAATTTGCTTATGATAACCCATTTGGACAGTACAAGGAATAATATTTTTTATTCTTTCAGCAGGAAATAGTAATGTTAAATATTTGAAGCTAGAGGGAAAAAAATGGAAAGTCTAAAAGAGCTTTAGTGAATAGCTGATGTGCTTTAAAGTGTGCCACAAGTGATTTGCAAATCCACCTCTGCCCAAGCATGCAGCTGCAGAGATTTTTAAAATCAGATGAGCAGCTTCACATTGCATTAAGCACCAAAATACCTGAATTTCTCATCAACATACATAGACTTCCTTAGGCAAAACACTGTTCATTAAACTGCTGGGAAAAGCAGCAGTGAAAAGTAATTCTGCATCAGCTTCCCTGGTTATTTTGTATCCCCTTGGGAAAAACCACAATTCTTTATAAAAGTGAAGACAAGACAACTGCTCAACTATGCCATTTCAGTAGAGCAAATCACATGGGTTTGATATGGAACAAGAGAAACTTTCAACCAAAGTCTATTTCTTAAACAGAAATGCTTTCATTTTATATCCATCTCATTATGTTTTTGTAACTAAGAAAATTTATATGGAAGAAAGAGAGTCCTGGCCCCCAACCTTTCCCTTTCACAGCTTTTAACAGCAAGACCTGCACAGAAGAGATTATCCCCAGTTTAAACCCCAGAGTTATATTGGAATTCATGTGATGGGAGAGCCTGAAAACATCTGAAACTTCTGCACTGCAAACTGAAAGTGGGACTGATCAGCAGTTGGTATTTATTACACCTTCATCATGTTATTAAGGACAGACTAACCAGAAGGAAGGGTTTTCTACCAAGGAAATAAAATCAAGCTTTGATAAGACAACTAAGTTTGGTGATAAGATTGCAAGGGCAACAATCACTTCATGGCAGAACCAGGTTTCTTTTTGATTTCACTGGGAATGAAAACAGAACAAAGCTATTGAACATAAAGGCATGAAGTGTGCCACAAAAATGCAGCTTTGCCAACGCTGCTCTCCACTGTCCAGTCTGAGCAGCACAGACAACCCAGATCCCTCAGCTTCTTCCCAGAACAGAAATGCTTCCCCTTTACTTCTGGACAGGCCAATCTAAGCTTTCCAAAGAGAAAAGAGATTTTGGAGCAAAGACAATGCCTGGAAGAAAATTTCTTTTTCTTAAATGTTTTAGAGTAATTTCTTAAATTTTTAGAGCAAGCAGCTGGTTATAAATCCATGTTAAACACTGTTAAATTGAAGTAACATTCCACTGAAAGCCATTTCATCATCACAAAAGCTCATTTTCTGAAAAAGCTGCAAAAATGTTTAACCTGCTGCCTTGAAGTTGACCATCACTATAAAAAGACAGACTTTTCTATATTTTATTTGTATTTTTTCTCATTTTCATTGAGTCTCACACTGCCACAGGGTGTCTCTCTACATAGATGAAAGAGATAAATCTCTCTGTAGATGAACTGGGATTAGCTGCACCTCTGCTCCCTACATTCCACGGGAGACAAGCTGGCTCTGGCAGATTCCCACATGCTCTCCAGGTTACCCAACCCCGTTTATTCCCAGGTCTCCAGTGCTTTATGACTGCCACCTTCTGTTGTGGAAGGGAGTAACACATTCCTGTAGCACTCCCGTTCCTGTTTGGGATGAGGCTCATCCTGGACACTGCTCACCCAGCTTGGGATTGTACAAGATTTAGGGTCCTGATTCTCTGCATTCACTGCCTGCTTCCCTCTGTGATGGCAAAACACGGGAGCCCCTGGTGTTGCAAATGAACTTCCATAGCCAGTGCTGAAAGACAAAGTTACCACTGTGCTTGGGAGCTCTGCCTCGACACCTCCCAAAAAAATCAGAAATCTCCATCTGTACCTCTTTCTTCCAACTACAGCTCTTGAGTTTTTAAAAATTGTTGTTATTAAACTTACAGGGATGTTTGATAGACACACAGCTGCAATTAGTGTGCTAATGTAAGGATTGAAAGGCTCTCACTGCTCAAAGAGGAAATCACACTAAAAGGGAACAAAATTGATCACTCTCCTTCCATTATACAATCTTATGGCCCTGTCCTTGATATCCTTCTATAAAATTTCCATACTAATCTGCTAAGGTGTTAATTCATGTGACTGATTATTAACCATGAATTTCTAATTGTTCAGAACATGAACACAGGCTGCAAATCAACATTTAAGCAACAAATTATTTTTAACGAGGACACTCTTAACAAGAAAGCTCTATTATTTTAATTCATTGTCTCCTCTCAAACTGCAGGAAGAGAACACCACTACCAAGCAGCAGTTCCCTGAAGGCCTGTGTGGATCAGCAAGGTAAAAGATGGAAATACTTGAGCTGAGTACAAAAGCATCAATGAAAGCAAAAAAAATATACTCTTTAAAGTAATACTGCTCCAGTAAAAATTGTATTCTCACTATTAAAATTCTCCTAGCTCCAGCTCTCCTGTTGTTGCTACATTGAGAAGTAAAATACTGAATTTCCTTTCAATGAAACCCAGCTCAGATTGAGCACAGAAAGCTCACACCCAAAGCACTGCAGGCTCTGGATTTACCTTTTACTCTCCTCCACTGCTTTGTCCAAGTGCTGGAAGATATCCTGGAATAAAATGCAGCTGGAGCGACTGTTGATGTCGTAGCCATATCCTCTCTTCCAGTACTGCTTCAGGTCATTCAGGTATTCCAGCACCTGAAATTGGAGTTCACAAGTTTTTATTGCTGCACCAAAAAGCTCACAGCCTGGAGACATGACACAAAAACAACCCCAAACATCAGGGCTCCAGTTCAAACCGTTTCAGCATAAAACCACGTCACTGTGTCTGAAAAATCCTCCTTGCCCAGGATTTTCTCCTGGGAAGCTGAGAAGCCTCAGAGAGGAATGAAAACAATAATTATCTGATTTCTGCTTTGGAATGTGGCTTGGACATTGTTTACCAACAGGTGAATATTTGACTGGCCATTAGAAGAAACAATTCACATGGAACCAATCACCAGCAGCTGTGTCAGACTCCGAGTCAGTCACAAGTTTTCATTATCATTCTTGTGAAACCTTCTCATGTATCCTTTCTCTGTAGTTTAGTATAGTTTTAGTATTGCATTCTTTTCATAAATTATAATATCATAAATAATAAATTTGCCTTCTGAGAACAAGGAGTCAGATTCTCATCTCTCACCTCATCCTGGGGACCCTCACAAACACCACAATACCAGACAACAGATCAGACCAAAGAGTGACCAAATTCAGCATCTGGTAACAATCACAAAAAAACCCTGAGGTGCTGCACATAAGACAACCACTACCCACTGCTTTTTTAGCCCTTCTGATTTTCCCTTGGCTTGCCATTCTTCTCACAGAATCCATCCCACACCTTCAGCCCAGCTTGTTTTGTGTGTGATTTCAAGTTGCAGAGACGCGCACACATCTCAAGCAGACAGAACTGTGCCTTGGAATTATTCAAGAGCACGCAGGGCTCTCCTTGTTCTCTGCTCCCTTCCTGACAATTCCTGGCATCAAAGCCATTTCCCACCTCCCTGCTGAGTTATTTATAACCAGACTGAACAGGGCAGGGCTCAGCAGAAGCCCATGGTGACCCTGATCCTCTCAGACACACCTATCTATGAAAAGGTCTCCTCTTTTCCCAGGGGTAAAAATTTTCTTAGAGCCTTGGGGGAGCCTTACTGAACATCAGAAAAAGTTGAAAGAAGAGGAACAAACATTTGTCACATTTATCTGGGCTCTGTCTTGGTTTAGAGAGCTGATAGATCCCAAAACCAGAGAGTCTTAGAGGCCCTGCAAGACCTCATTTGATGTACCCTGGAGTGAATTTTATCACGTGGTTCTATAATGTTAAAACCACAGATTATAGAAAGGTTTGGGATGGAAGGCCATTTGACATCACCTCATTCCAAACCCCCTGCCACAGGCAGGGACACTTCCCACCAGAGCAGGTTGCTCCAAGCCTCACATACCTTGGCATCTTCTTCACTGAAGAGTGAACACCATGGGGAAGTCACATTTTTTATGGCCAGCTCATAGGAGCAGGTGAGAAAAGCCACTTGAACAAGATCTGCAATAAATTGAACAAACAAGAAAAAGATAAATAAATCACTGCTACACAAGTAGCAACTTCCTCTCCTTAGTTCACCTCTAAAATGAATTGTAATTACTGTTTGGCAATATAAACAATGACATCCAATAAATATTTGGCAGGACAAAGACCAAGCACCAAAAATACACAGTTTAACAGGATTATTGTGCAAAACCCAAATTTTGGACTGCAAGTTCTTGGCATTACATCATGATAAGAGGGAAAACAAGAGCATTCCACATTAAATGCTGTCCATCAGCTGATGTGAAACAGGTGTCAGCTGCTGTTGCAGCCACCCAGGTCAGAGGAGTCAAAGGGAAGATGTGAGCTCATGGAAACACCCCCTCCACATCAGCAGCTGTGTGCAAGCAGCACCAGGTTGAACTTTGTCTCCAGCATGTCCCTGATGCTGCAATCCCAACAGCAGCACTTAGTTTGGGGTGCTTTTCCCCCCAAAACCATACAGGGAAATCCAGCACTTCTGTTCTGAACAGGAGTTAACACACAGGACTGCTTTTCCTCAAGTCATTTATGTGCTAGAGTTGTAATGGGTTTCACAAAAGCAAAATTAAAACATTCAAATCCCTCCAGAACCAGGTAGAGCTGATTTTATCTAGGGGAAAGATGTTTTCATGCATCTTTTTCTTCTGACCACTATCCAACAAGCATTCATTACTGCAACACCAACACAGACTTACAGTCTCATGCACTTAATTAGAGACTGCATCTCCAAGTCACAGCCACTCTAAATTACCTCCTCTGCATAACTACACATCTTGGAAGCTGCTCTTGGCCAGCCTTGGAGCCGAAGCCATCAGTGACAGGAATTCCTTACCTGCATTTAGCTCCTCCATTGGTAAACATAAAGCACTGGCCACCTTCTCCAGGACCTTCTTCATCTCAGGCCCCTCTTTGAAGGCGTTCACCTGGCCCATGGCCGTGTCATTCTCCTCCACCAGCACCACAAACTTGGCACAGTGATCAAAGAACCGCATCAGGGAGTCGTTAACTTCAACCTCCACCTCTGAAAGCAAACGTGGGCGTCAGAGGGAGCAGCACCATCCCCAAAGGCACCAGGATGTGACATCCATCAAGGGACAGGCTGTGTCCCCATGGAGGGGGTGCAAGGTCCCTCACAAACACAGGGAGAGCAGGGAACATCCCCAATGCCTCTGAGAGCTCCTTCAGGGAGGGATTCTCCCAGCCACCCATCAGGAGTCCCGCAGACCCTCAGGGATGGATCATGGCTCCAGCCATGAAAGCACAGGGCTCCCTCAGGAAAGGGATGGAGATCCCGCAAAGAGGCTGTGAGGCACCTCCATCTCCTGTGGTGGAGCTGGGAGTCCCAGGGACTGCCCCAGTCCCTCAGGGAGACACGGGAGCCATTCCCTCAGAGCACGGGTCTCCCTCACCCCTCAGGGAGCAGGTCCCCAGAGAACACCTAAAGAAAGCACGAGAATTCCCCCATCCCCTTGGAACAGCTGGGACCCCCTCAGCCCTTCAGGAAAAACCTCAGGGAAGGGGGCGGTGTCGCTCACTCACCGTCGCCGCCGAAGTCGAGGGTGGGCCCGAGCCCGCGGCGGAAGGCGGCCCCGCTCTGCAGGCAGCGGTGCTTGGAGCTGCTGGCCAGCGCCAGGCGGCGGCGGGCGGCGAAGAGCGCGGGGAAGCGGGCGGCCATGCGCCGCGCCAGCTGCTCCATGTCGCGCCGGCCCTGCGGCGCCAGCCGCCCGTCCAGGCTCTCCTCGTACCACATGGGCCACTCGGCCAGGGCGGCGGCGGCGGGGCAGGCGGCGGCTCCCGCGGCCCGGCGGAGCAGCCGGCCGTGCAGCTCGCCCAGCCGGCGGATCTGCCCGGCCGTGGGGTAGCGGGTGCCGTGGCGGAGCACGGCGCGGAGCTGCAGCGGAGTGCAGGAGGCGGGCAGCGACCCGCCCGCCCCGGGACCCAGCGACAGCGGGTCGCTCACCAGGTGCGGGTTCACCTCCTCGTAGCGGGACTTGGTGCCGAAGTAGCCGCTCAGCCCCGCGCTCGCCAGCGGCAGGACGAGGAGCAGCAGCATCAGAGCGGCTTCCCGGCGAGGCGCCATGGCTGCAAGTGCGCGGCTGCCGCAGGAAGAGGCGGAGCGGGGCCGACTCTTCACGGCTTCAGCGGCCCCAGGGCCCGCCCCAGCCCCAGCCCCAGCCCCAGCCCCTCCCGCCCCTTCACGGCATCACTCGCCTCACCCCAGCTCCTCATGGCTCCTGACAGCATCACTCGCTCCATCCCAGCTTTAGCCGACCCCTCTCGGCTTTACGTGTCCCCTCACGGCTTCGCCCGCCCCAGCCCGGAACCCTGAGGGGAGCCATGAGCCGTCCGACCTACTTTGGTATCTGCTCTGCCTCTGTGGAGCCTCGCTGGCTTCATGGAGCTCAGTAAAAACAAAAAAAGTCGATACGCAGTCAGACACGAGGGGAATGGTTTAATTCCTCTGTACAGGTAGAACAACTGGATGGGCTGCAGTAAGGAAACAGGGACAAGGTATGTTGTCTTTCTCTGTATGTAAAAATCAGAGCAAACTCCGTGGAGCAGATGGGCTCAGGACAACCCAACCTTCTTCTTGGTGGTCAGTGTCCAAGATGTGCTAGTTCTTAAAAATTTAAAATTGCTCCTCTTTCTTCTCTACAGTTTTGCAATGTATTACCAACTCTAAGGTTTATTATTACCAAAAATGCACTTTGTTTAACTAGTAACAAAATGTGCTGCTGTCCCTCGGAGTCCTGTTTTAGAGAATCTATCTGCTGACATAAGGCAACAGCAGAAACTTGCTAACAAATGCCCACCATGTTGTATTCATAAAATTAGTCTAATTAGCATTTAAATTAGCGAAATATTAAGGCCACTTCAGTCAAAACCCTGAGCCTAGGCCATGCTGGGAATGGGGCAAGTAAGAATGTGGAAGTAAATTTTAAAGATATCTCTGTTTCTCAGAGCTCTGTGAAAACTTCAGCTATGATGTCAATATCTCTATCATTAGAGAAGCTGTGGCATAGATAGATTTTTAAAAAGTTAGTACAATCTTCTCTTTATTGCTTCTTCATGGGAGAAATTCATCCCAAACCAGGAACACTGCCAGGGACTGCAGCTCCCCTCAGAATTCACTTTATCCTCCAACATGAGTGACCAAAGCCAAGAAGGATCTTTCACAGGTGGTTTTGCCTCTTTTTTTGCTAAAAACCAGCTGGATGGCACTCAAGGTAAGGTAGTGATGCTGTGAGGGGATTGGAGGTGGCTGCTGCAGGGGTTGGCAGCGTGGGGCATGTGGAATTTCTAAAGAATCATAGAATCTCTGGAGTTGGAAGGGACACACATAGATCACAGAATCACAGAATTCCAGGGTCATTGAGGTGAGAAAAGTGGAGTCCCAGCTGTGCCCTGTGCCCACCTTGTCCCCAGCCCAGAGCACTGAGTGCCACCTCCAGCCCTTCCTGGGACACCTGCAGGGCTGGGCACTGCAAAGCTCCCTGGGCAGCCCCTGCCAAGGCCTGAGCACCCTTTCCATGCAGAAATTGCTGCTGCTGTCCCAGCTGAGCCTCCCCTGGCCCAGCCTGAGGCCCTTTCCCCTTGTCCTGGCACCAGACCCTGATGCCCCCAGGCTGCACCATCCTGTCAGGGAATTATGGCATGATAAAGACACCTTCAGAGGAGTCCTACTTCTTTTAACTCTTTTAGTTCCCAGCAAGAGCAAGTAGGAATAAGCAGCTGTGTAAAAACAAGTGGGAACACAAAGTCTGCAGCCAGGGATGCTTCAAGAGCTGTCTCCAGAGGGCCACCAGTATTGATTATAAACATAGGACCCCAGGGTGTGTGAGGCTGCAGGAGCTCAGTGGGCACCTGGTGTCCCCATCCCTGCCCCAGCAGGGCCATCCCAGAGCCCAGGGCACAGCACTGTGTGCAGCCAGCTGTGCCCCAGCCCCAGGGAGGAGAGCCCCCAGGCCGTGTGGGCAATGTGCTCAGGGCTGGGCACTGCCCAGGGCAGAAGTTGTGCCTCCTGTGCAGGGCAGTTGCTGGGCTCAGGCCCTGCCCGTGGCTCTGGTGCCATTGCTGGGCCCCGGAGCAGAGCCTGGGCCCTGCTCTGCCCCTCCCTGCAGCCACTCACTCACAGCCCCCTGGCACTGCTGGCAGCACGGAATGATGGCATTGTAATGACCCATCCAGAAAAGCTTAGAGAGGCTTAGAAAAGCAAAGAATAAAAAGAGGCATCCTGTGGAAAAGCCTGAGCAGCACAGTGGTGACACATCAGGTTATAAAACAGTTTGGGCAAAAGCATAAGCAAAACATCCCCATGCTGATTATAGCCATTTTCAGCTAAAGCCTCACTGCTGAATAGATACCAGCTTGTAGCTAAGGAAACAGAGTCATCTGAGCTTTTGGCCCACAGCACATCCTGGGCAAACCTGGGTTTTATTCAGAGTCAGACTTCACTCCCTGCCTGCATATTCAGGCTATTGTGCAGCTGAGACTTTTCAGTGAACAAATACATTTTTTATGATTTTTCTTTCCAAATTCTGTTGGAAAGTGTGTACCTCACCTGTCTCCCACCTCCTCAACATCCAAATAAAGTGTTAATGCAAGAGTGTGCTAAGGCTCAAACAGGGTAGGGAAAGCCTGTAATGGTGAAAGAGAAAAGAAAATATGGGAATAAATAAGTGGTTTAAAGCTTGTGGGCAAAGTCATGGGCTCTCTGTTAGAGCAGGGCAGTGTGACTCAGCTGTCTCCCTGTGACTCTGTGCAGGGCTATTTGGCCCCTTTCCTGTGGCTCATTCAGTTTATATTAGACATTTCTCCCACAAATCACTTCTAGCACATCATCTTTTATAACAAAACCAGCATAAGACTACAGGCAGTGTTGCTTTGAAACCTATTGAGGGTATTTCATAAATACTGAGAAAAATACCCATTCCATTTTCTGCATAATTATTCATTGCAAGGAATCTGTAGTTGGTTTTAGTAGGAAAAGGATTTTGCATATTACATATAATATTTTTTCATTTTATAGTGTGCCTGTGAGCTGCTGTGAAGGAGAAGAAGAGAACTCAAGGAGTTTTCTGTCAGAGACAGAAACTGTAATGTTTATAAACTTCACTGTAAATGTGAAGTTAAAAGGTAATGAAATAAAAACTGGCTTGTGATCCCAATTTCCATTCCACAAAGGGATTTCTGTGTTCTGAGTTGTCAAAGGTAGACAGTTACCCCACATGGGATCCCTTCCTTGCTCCTCTCACATCCCATTAAATCATCACAGCCTATTGTATCCCATGAATGTATTTTGAATGGTTTCACAGGATATTTTCTATTAGGACAGGGAAAATCTCATCAAGAAGATTTCATTCCATGAGGAGTCACAGCACGTGTAGCTCATATCCCAAAACTCTGGACAAAGCATTTACACAGCAGCCACATTGCCATTTTCACCCTCCACAAGTGTTGTGATGTTCTTTTTCTGGTTTTTGTGTCTTCTTTACATCTAAGTTGGAGGCCAAAACCATTTTCAAATGTTCCAAATGCAACATTATCAGATTGTTTTCCTTTATTTTTTTTTTTCTTTCCATCTTCAGTTCTGGTGCTACTGAGGGTGCTGAGTTCCTGACTCACATTTCCTCAGCAGCTTTTTTTGTTGTTCTCTTGCAGTGCAATCACATAGCCCTGTCCTGAATAATTTCCTTGTTTCTGCTCCATCTATGGATTTTCTGTAGAGGTGCATCTATTTCCAAACCAGGCTCTATTCAAAATGCAACTGAGATAGGTAGTGTACCAAACTCTTCTGAAAACATCTTTTTTTTCTTATAAATCCTTCTGCTCCTCACTGCTTTGCTGGTCTGTAATTGCCATTAATTTTTTTAGCAGTGAAAGGAGAGAAAACCCAAATTTTCCTGTGTCCCCAGCAGTGTATGGCAGGTTCCTGCTGCTCCTTTTGGGGTGTGGGTTCTCCAAAACCATTTATAAATGTGCCTGTTCCAAATGCAACATTATCAAATTGTTTTCTGTTTTCCTTTATTGGTTTTTTTTTTCTTTCCATCTTCAGTTCTGGTGCTACTGAGGGTGCTGAGTTCCTGACTCACATTTCCACAGCAGCATTTTTTTGTTGTTCTCTTGCAGTGCAATCACATAGCCCTGTCCTGAATAATTTCCTTGTTTCTGCTCCATCTATGGGTTTTCTGTAGAGGTGCATCAATTTCCAAACCAGCTTTATTCAAAATGCAACTGAGAAAGGTAATGTACCAAACTCTTCTGAAAACACCTTTTTTTTCTTATAAACCTTTGTGCTCCTCACTGCTTTGCTGGCCTGTAATTGCCATTAATGGAAGTGTATTTTTTTAGTAGTGAAAGGAGAGAGAACCCAAATTTTCCTGTGTCCCCAGCAGTGTGTGCCAGGTCCCTGCTGCTCCTTTTGGGGTGTGGGCTCTCCACAAACACTTTCTGCTCTTCTGGGCAGTCCTTTGCCCTGTGTGTGTGTGAGTAGGGACAGTTTATTCTCACAATTAAAACAATGGGATTTTCCATAGCTGAGGCCACATTTTGGTTAGCAGTGAGAGAACTGGGAAAGGAATGAAACAAATAATTACTGCTTTCTGCAGAAGGGGCTGAATTCAGATCTCATCCATGAGTGCTCCACATGCTCTCCCCTCAGGCACAACCCCATTTAAATGTGTGTGACACAGCCTGTTCTCCCAGAAAACACAGAAACCTCTGGGGATCCTGAGTGGTTTGACCTCTTTGCAAGCAGAGTTTCTGGTCTTGCAGTGGGGCTTCACCTGTGTGGGCAACATTGGCAGCCTGGCCACCCCATAATTATGTGGTTGCCTTTCTGGAACAGGGCAGGCCCTTCCAGTTCTGGAGCAGCATGACCCCATGTCAGGCTGTGGAACGGCTTGGAGATTCAAAAACCCAGAGATAAATTCAGAAAGCCTCAAACCCCAGCCAAACTGGGTTTTCCAAGGGTAAAAGTAAATTTAAATAAGGGTTTCCTTTTCCACATAAGTAAGAAGAAGACAGAAAGTACAGAAACTGTGTGGATCTGTGCTCTGTATATGGAAAGGTAAATTTCTTGGTTGTATTTTCACCAAAATACAGGCACAAA